ATGTTGGTGTACTACTACAACAAAAAGACATCCGGTTTGTTTTCTCATCAGGAAATGCAGACCGGCTCAAACAAAAGATTTTTAAATCATCATCCTCACGATCATTTAATGTATCATATGTTCGCCGAATTGACATGAAAGCACTAATAAATGTAGTTTCATCCACTTGAGTTTACAACTACAAAAATAATCGATTTGTTTTTATATCACATCCGACGGGAGGAAATTCAGCAGCTCTCACTACCGATTTGTAATCCTAATTTAATCATCACCTTCACCACGATCATTTATGTTTATGTTCGCCGAATTAACATGAAAGCACTGACAAATATGAATATACTGTAGTCAACTTCATTAAAACGTTATTAACGTGCCTAAACTCAGTAATTCACCATTTCTACGCATGACAACACACTTTGTCCGTGTTTGGCTCTCTCGCCGCACAGTGAAGCGTTCCCGCATTGACGTCACTTCCGGCTTCCCCCAAAACCTCAAAATGAGATGAAGGAATTTTCCCGCGATGTTCGAAATTATTGATATTTATCGGAACGGTATCGCTTTTTCTTTTTAAACTGACGGTTCGAGATTACTAGTAGCCCACTATTTCATTGCCACAGTTGTTGGGTTCGTGTCACAGGCTCTTTAAAGGTAGGGTAGGTAAGAATGGAGAAACCAGTTCGAGTAAGCTAGAGTTTGAAAATACACAACCGAAAAAAAATGAGGGCACGAGATAAGTTTATGCACGAGATGGAAGGCTGACAAGCAGGTATAGGCCATCCAATTATCTGCCGCGGGCAGAGGCAGATGATTGGACTTGCTTTTTACAGCGCCACGGCTTCCACAGATGAAATATTTGTATATTGTCAAAGAATTTAATTTATTCATTGCTATCGGGATGTTAAGAGCATTCCATGGAATATAACAAAAAGTGTTTCTGAAATGAATTACCTATCCCTACCTTTAAGTACCTTTACTTACTTACTTAAAAGTATTTCAATTTGTTGTACTTCCACCCCATTACAAACATAGCTACATTGTGTATTTGTAATCCACCACATGTATTTAATACCTTTACTTACTTCACAGATGTGGATTAATGATGTGAAATATAATCAAGTGTTAAATCAGACTTTAGTTCCACCTGGAGTAAATTCACAAGCTACCCTGCAATATACAAAGTCATTCAAATAGCTGCACCTTTACCAGCTTTGATAACACTTTAATGCATCAAGTTCAAATTCAAATGTTTTTTTGTTATGACATATACACAACTACGGTGTAATTATGTAATGTTTGAAATACTTAGATTGCAGGTTCTCAACATTAACATTTTACAAGATATAAAACAAAATATATAAAACAACTACATTCAAAATAAAAATAGTGCAAGCTCAGCCGTTTAATAGTCTTATGGCCTGTGGGATGAAACTGTCCCTGAGTACGGTGGTTTTATTCCTGATGCTGCGGGACCGCCTGCCAGACGGAAGAGTTATCGATAATCAAAACATATAATATATGTTTTTCTGAAATGGGGTGATTTGCATAATGACTTTTACTTTCAGTACTTTGTGTTTATTTTGATGCTAATACCTATGTACTTTTAATTGAGTAAGATTTTAAATTCAGGACTTTTATTTTTAACAGAGTATTCCTACACTCTGATACTTCTACTTTTACCTGAAGATCTGAGTACTACTTCCACCTCTGGACACAGCTCTGGGATCCTTGGCAGAGACGCATTTAGGACTTCACAGGGAAAACAATAGATCATGTTGCTCAGAAAAGACAGACACCTTGAGGTGCTGGCGTCGAGGCTCAGTGGTGGAAGGTATGAAATGCCCCATGACAGACTTGTAAGACGTGCTGGTAGGGAGGTGGTTGTGTTCAGAGGTCCATGAAGTAAGTTGGAATAGAGAGAAGGTGAAACAAATCATAAAATGATTTTTGGACCTTTGGACTCATTTGCACAACAAGAACTCATGTGTTGCTGGAGATGCATTTAGTTCAGTTGTCACTGTTAGAACTGCTTTATAGTGTCCTTACTGATAGTGCCTAAACATCCTAACCTTCACCACAGGATGCGGCGGTGGTTATAAGAGGAAATGCTCATTATCTTCAGTTCCCATATGCAGTGGTGGATAGTACATTTACTCAATTATTGTGCTTTATTTTTGACTTTACATAACATTTAATGCTGCTTTATACTTATAATTCACTACATATCATACTTTTTACTCCACTACCTGTATTTTAACACACACAGTAACTAGTTACTTTGTACACAAAATAACACATACGTATTTACTACTAATCTATACAGTATCTACATTTGGTCCAAATTGACAAACTACAATACTTAAATGCTCTTATACGTATCACAATAAAGTACTGTGAAGTGATCTACTCTGAATAACAAGTATTTTCACTTTTGATACTTGTAGTACATTTAGCTGAATATTGTTTTACTTTTTGTACTTTAAGTACAGTTCGATGCTAATACTTTTGTACTTTTACTGAAGTAGAATTTTGAAATCAGAACTTTTACTTGTAGTAGAATATTTGAAGACCATAGTATTCATACTTTACTTGAGTAAAGTATCTGAGTATTTCTTCCAACACTGTATCGATGGGACTTCAATGTAACCAAAGAAAGATGATCATGTATCACTCAGGCAAGTGATACACAGTGATCTGTAAATATTTACTTCTGTTGAGATCCTTCTCTACCTCAATTTATGACTGGTGATGGTTTTATATATTTACAGTGCACACTAAAATGGGTGCATCGTAAAAAAAATGGAGGTAATTCAGGTAGATGGCAGAGATGTTACCTATGTTTGTCCACCAGGGGGCGGTGCACACCCATCAAAGCTCCCACACACCAACACAATAAAAAGTTGTTGACACATATTATCCTCCCACTCTTATCATTAATGGTAATCAGAGATGTGTCTTTGTTGACATAGTCTGTAGCAAATTGTCAATAGTACCTTTGTTTGAGCAATCGTTATTTCCTGTTGTTATAATTGCTGGTATTTTAGGGGGTTTCTGCTTGAGTTTCCCCATGTTAAACGTCATGTTTATTACCAGTGTTTGATGAACAGCTCTTTCTTTGTAACCGTCGGACAGAGTGGAAGACAATAAATAACCATGGAAAACCCAGTTTGGGCACAACCTTAAATAGACCAACAACTGAACTGTTGGCAACATACACTAAAACGTTGACTTTAATAAAAATGTATTATGTCAACAGATTTCACAAAACTGTATTAGGTTAGTTGAAAGCATTTTACATTTTATTAAAGTAAACGTTTCAGTTTTTTCAGTGTACTATATTTACTTCCTTGATGAATCACCCCTCAGACAGAGACAACAATGATTGAAACCATCACTGGTTTGTTTTAATGTAGACTTTCTTTTGAAAATACACAATTGTACCTTTAAAAAGCGCTCAGACGTAGGTCAGTGCACCACACGGCCCAGCCCTGTTGGCTCTCCATCCATTCAAAACCACCCTTCTACTTTTAGACATGCCGGGCCCAGTTCTTTGCCTAGGCGTTCACCTTCACAGCCACCAGGTAAATGTGGTTGGCCGCAAACCAGTGTCATACAGGGACCTATGTGGAAAAAGTACTCAGATCTTCTACTAAATCCAAGTAGAGTGTGGGAATACTCTGTTAATAATACAGTAGCCTACTAGAAATTGAAAAGAAAGAGTAAAGAAATGTCGATTTTATATTCTAGAAATACATAATATTATTGGTTAGCTGAACCAATAAAAGACAATAGTTGAATCAGTGGTAGACATAATTTCGTATAATATGTTAGTAAAAATATTTCTGAACTTAAATTTGAATGGTTGATAAAATAATACATGAGAGATTTGGGTTCAGTTTCTTCTACAGGTCTAGTCTAATTTAAGTGTTGATTATACAGTATTTCATATTATTAATCCAAATCTGTAGGCCTGTGGAGTAACAAGTACACTCTTCATATTATTAATCCAAATCTGTAGGCCTGTGGAGTAACAAGTACACTCTTCACCTCTGGGGAGTAGATGTACAGGAAGTGCATTACTTGAGTATACACCACTGACCATGGCTAAGCTAAAGGCTGCTAATGGTCGGCGTGATGACGTTTAGCAGTCTTATTTTGTCACTTTTTTAGCAACCTGACACAAACAAGCACCACTGCAGAGCCCTTTGACATGTCAGTCACCAGTGGCAGAGAAAGCAGATAGTGTGAGAGCTCTGGTGGCTCTGCAGTGTTCAGCTGCTGGCTTCCTGATGTGGACAGAAGGCAGGCAGCAGAGCTCTGTTAAACAGCAGATGTTTTACACTGCGGCCGTTACCCTCATTTCCTGGGCGGAGAGCTCCTCGCTCTATGAGACGAGTAACAGGAACCAGAAAAAAAAGAAGAGTTAGAGGGAGAGAGAGCCAGAGCGAGGGGAGTGCAAGAGAGAAGTTAGCCGAGCTTCCACAAATCACTCTGTCACCAGCAAGCTCTGACAAGCATCGGGAGAGAGGGAGAAAGGGGAGAGAGACTGGGGAGTTAAATAGAGGTGCGACTAGGGAGTAGTTTCAGAGCAAGAGGGAAGGTGTGAAGGAGCTTAAAGGAGGTGATACAGATGGATGGATAGAGGGAAGAGAGGACAAGACTACAATACGGTTCTCATAACTTTCAAGAGGGACTGTTACTCCTGCTGCTGCTGCTGCTGGGTCTGGATGGTGCACATGTAAAGAGGTGTGTCAAACTTAAGCAAATATTGTTACGAGAGTTGGAGTGGCAGTCTGTTATTTTAAAGCATCCCCTGCCTGAGCTGTTTTTTTTTATCTCATGCTCGAAACACAGGGATAACATTATTGTGTTTTAGAATAAAGAGACAGTGTCAGAAAACTGGTCATAGTGTGTCAAGTAGGCACGAGTCGGAAATCATTTTTCTAGCAGCTGTACACGGATCACATGCTATTAATGCTAAAAAGGGGTAGTCAGAGCGGAGAGTGTTTGAGTGTATCAGATGTGTCTTTGTGGGGACATGTCTTAATGGCTTAACTGCATCAGAATAAGTTATTGAAACTTTAAATACTACATTATACATTTGTTCCTCTGGCCCCGAGGATACTTGATTATTCCGGGTTGACTCAACGCCCCAAGGGTCAAACTTTAAACACTGAGAAATAGGAAGCTATTTTTTACAACTTTAAGAACAGTATGAATTGTTGCTATTTTCTTTCTCTTTGTCATATTTAGAAAGGGCTTAATTTACTTCACATCCGTGTACAGGGTAGTCCTGAATGATCTGTGAAGAGACCTCGGGGTGAAGAAGGACAGGAAGCAGAGTCAGCGGAAAAATCTTAGACTCAAATGTTAAGGGCTAAAGAACGTTTTGTTTTGACATGTGGAAGTTTCTTTGAGTAAGACAAGATTTATTTTAACCGGAGTATTTGGGTGTGTTGTGACTCACTGAGGGTCTTCTGAATCTTGGTGTGTGCTTCTGTTTGCACGTTAGGCTGGGCTCTGTTAGCATTTGACAGCGTCTGGGACGTCATTGTGTTACCCGTGTGGCTGAGTCAGAGGCTGGCTCAGGTCTGTCCGCCCACTGGGAATCTCTACATTGGTTTTCATGCCAAGAAGACACAAGTGCTAGGTGGTTTTCACAGCAGCAGCAGAGGCAGCAACTGCGGTGGCACCACTACTCCTGAACTTTGAGGACTCTCCACACTGCTTTTATTGTTCTGCTGTCTGTAAACACCTTGCGTAACTCACACCTCTCCACGGAGTGATTCACTGTTCCCTAAGCATCCCTGGTCGGTGGCAGACAGTGAAAGGGAGGATTCGCCGAGAACCAGAGCCCAAAAGTAGTTGCAAACATTCACCATGAAGCTGGCGTTGTTGATGCTCATGGTCGTCTACATGGTGGGCAACGTAAGCAGCATGTCCACATGTAAGACGCTGGACCTGGAGATGGTGAAGAAAAAGCGCATTGAAGCCATCAGGAGCCAGATCCTTAGCAAATTGCGTATGCCCAAAGAGCCTGAGCCGGATCAGACGGGGGACGACGAGGAGATCCCCGTCCCCCTGCTGTCCCTCTACAACAGCACCAAGGAGATACTGACAGAGCAGCAGAGCGAGGTCCAGACTGACATCTCCACGGAGCAGGAGGAGGAGGAATACTTCGCCAAGGTGCTGCACAAGTTCAACATGACAGGTGAGTACCAGCAATAAAATGGCAATACATCAGTCATGGGTGGTACACATGTGGATGCCCGTTGTCAAGGATAAGGGCGATTGCTGATGGTTTAACTACAGCACTAAGGGTGTCACGTAAAACTGTAATTTATGCATCTACATTTGAAGGCACTTTGCTCAAGACAAACCCACATGGAAGCAAAGATGCTGAACATGATTGCTTCCGTGTTGGAAAATTGTCGTTCCTCAGATCTTACAATAACAGTTGCTATAGTGGCAGGGGTGAGAAGGTGAGATGAAAAGGTGTAGGGTGTTCAAAAACAACATTTAACAATGAATTTTCTTTGACCCACTACAATTTTGCATAAAAAAGCCAGGGAACAATTGTTGAACATTTCACCTTTTCAGTGCATGTGCGCATATACATTTGGACAGAAAACATAGAACTTTAACATGCCAATCAGATTTGACTCCTTCCAACCATAACAAGAAACTATACCTCGCTGCATTGCTTCAGAAAATACCTAAAAAGATCATTTCATTATGTATGGTTCCTGGTTTTCAAATTCACATCAGTGTTGCTTTATTCAGCCCATCTATGTATCTCCACGAAACCTTGAGAATTACCTATTCAATTTTTTTGGAAGCCTTTTAAATCAGACTTTGCTTTTCTGAAGAGTGCCTTAAGGAGATCCACAGAAAGTACAAGTCATTATCTGTTTCCTGAACATCAAATTATGAAAGATGCTATAGTTGCATCCCAAATTTCAAATATAAGTATGAAAATGAGCACAACATGTTTCTAGCAGTTTGCTGGGATAGTCAAACTGAGACCAGGCCAATCAGTATTTGCCCAATCTCCTCCATAAATTCCCTAAACACGTGTACCCCTTCTGATCTCCACCCAACGTCTTCAGGCAGCTTGAGGAGTTCAGAGATCACAGGTGTTACGCGTTAGCAGGATGGTGTGTTGCATCTGGTCCCATTCTCCGTGTTGCTTTCGTTGTATCTATGGCATTTTTACTGCTTTATTAGCGCTGTTTGTTTGGCTGGCATGCCTGTGCTGTTTGTTCAGCTAAATGGTTTTCTGGCTTTAATTCTGCAACGACTCCCAAATTATTATGATAAACAGACATTTTTTTCCTTTCTCGGTTTGGTTTCTTTGGTCTATTGTTCTCTACATGCCTATACTTCTCACCCCATCAGGCAGGCATCCACACTATCCCTCTTTTATCCACCACTTCAAAAGAAAGTGGATGGACGCTGCTCAGGAGTGTGCAGTCCTGAAGGGAGAAGAAAGACACGTTAAAAACCAAGGGGCATGATTTTGTTCTGCTTAGATGAAAACTAAAAGAACAGGGGGAGGGAAATGGGATGAGGGACGACATGAAATGCACTCCTTCACCCTCACCCTGTCTGTTTCGTTTTCTTTACCCTCTCCTTCCTGGATTGGGGGTTTCCTGTAACTTGAACATCAGGTTCTCCTTTGCTTATCCTGTCACTTGTTCTCCATCATATCTCTTTCTCCTTCCCTGAGCATTTCCCATTTCACTCCCATATCTCTCTGCCAATAATTAGCCGTCTCCCCCTGCTGGGTTTCCTGAGCTTATTATCAGTGTGTTTGCAGCATGTTTTTGACGGGTCTGCTTGGCAGGAAGGAAAGCAGGCTGATGGCCACTGAGATCTTGAGTGACTCAGGTCCGGTGCAAGCGATGCCCATGGGGAACATGTGTTTCCTACCTCTGTGGAATGCCAGAGAACACCCAGCCACTGTCTAATGCTGCGTTCCATTTACATTGGAAGTCGGAGGTCGGAATGTCACATCCGAGTTGACTGCGCTCCAGTGGCAAAAGTAGGAAAAATATGGCCGCCTGCAGGAAAGTTGTTCGCCTTGTTTACAGCTTTAGCAGCAAACTTGGGTCAGCCATTGTTAGCAATACCGGTTGACAACAACGCTTTACTTCATATTTTGTGAATACATTACATTACATTACATTTGGCTGACGCTTTTATCCAAAGCGACTTACAATGAGTGCAATAAACCATAAAGATTCAAATGAAGGACAACAAGAAAAGTGCTGACATAATAATTTCAGACAAGCAAGACCATAGTAAGTGCCGGTGCATACTGTAAGTTAAACTCTTAGTGCTACTTTTGTTTAAAGTGGACCTATCATGCTTTAAACATATATTGTAGGGCCGTACCTATATAGAACATGTCTGTGAAGTTTTTTTTTCAAAATACCAAACAGATCATGCATTTTAGCCATGCCTCATTTCTCTCTATTTGCTCTTTTCCAGCCCTGTTTTTGCAACAGCTGATTCTGCTTTTGTGGCAGACTACAGCACCACTTACAGGCCTGGCATATGTACTACAGCGTCTCCAGCGCTTTCGAGCGGTCTCTCAGATAGGTGGAGAGTTGCCCATATAGGCGGAGCACCCCTTTTCTGACATCAGAAAAATTCAAATAATAATCAGCTCAAAGTTTCCAAGTAGGAAGTCTGACCTCAGGGGGCGTTCCAGATAAAATGTCACGACTGGGAACTCAGATACTCCCAATAACGCTCTAATAACCCTCAGGACGGCTTCTGAAAACATACTCTGGGAAATTCAAGTGCAGGAGCGTACGTGTGCAGGCCTAGCAAAAAGTGTTTTGCAATTATTTAAAAGTACATCACACAACAGGTTGTGGGAGCTTCTTCTCTGCATTTTACTTCTGTAAAAGATTGTGAGCAGAGCGTGTGGACAACAAGTTTTTACACATTATCCATCAGCATAGCCTATTCGTCACTTCAATTTGTGGTTCTATTTATTGGGCGAGTCACACTTTCCTGATACCCCAACACAGCCTAGGGAGATGCATATTTGTGTGCACCATTATGGTAATTAAGTGGTGAATTAAGCTAGATTCCTTCAGTAAATTAGCACATCCTTCCCTTAAAGCCCACACATATTCACCTCTCCCATTAGACGTGGTATGGGTCCAATGTTAATTTAGCTTGTTAGCAGAGAGACCATTTTTCCCCCTTATTTGGAAACATGCCTATTTGTGGTGTTCCAGAGTTAAATGGGTTCACTGCTCACTGAGAAATGTATAATATTCAACAGCAGATTAATACGCTGCTTCCATGCTACAATGAGAAGCAGCAACTGGGGTGCGTAAACAGTGTGAGGTGGGGGGAACATTGACAAGTGGGCCATTGGAGGGTGGAGCTGAACGTATGAAGGAGGCAGGTATTTAGCCTGCTGCTGGAATCTGGTGCCTCCCACTGGTAATTACAGAGCTGTCTCCCAACCTGTCACAACAGCTGTCCCCGGCTTACCTGTGGATAGGCCCTGATTCAACACACAAATCCCCCCCCACACCCATGTTAGTACGCAGGCTTGGGTGCTATCTATACCCCCATTGGGAAGAGCAAGGCCCTTTCTAAGCCGAGCGTGGAGAAGAAGTTGTACGCTTTGTCTCCTCCAAAGTCTTGTATTTGGATCAGATAAGCATTTAAGTGATAGGGAGAAGATGCGTCAAATGGAAAGTAGAAGTGAGGATAAAGAGTTGTTGGTAGTGCAGTCAAAATGTGGAGGACCTTTATTGGAAGTGACGTAATTTCCTGTTTCCCAAACGCTTCTCTTAACACATCTATCTCAGTTTACTTAAACTAAAAGGAGACGATTACTTTCCGTGCATGGTGTTGCTCCCTGCACCGTTCACAGCTCTTCTCACGGGTTGTGATGCTCTGTGTTTTTCATTCAAACGTTTTTTTGAAGACTCTCTGGGTGGGACCAGTATAAATGTAATTTAATTTCCCTTTGAACCCCATGACAGCTCTTTTCAGTTTCAGTTTGGTTTCCTACAAGTCGTGAAACACTACCTAAGCAACAACACAGATGGTGGTACTGGTTAATGATACACAAGCAGCCCTGACATGCAGAGGTGGATTAAGTACTCAGATCTTGTACTGAAGTAAAAGTAGAGTGAAAAAGTAGAGTGTAGGAATACTCTGTTACAAGTAAAACTCCTGCATTAAAAATGTTACTCAAGTAAAAGTACAAAAGTATCAGCATCAACATGTACTTAAAGTACCAAAAGTAAAAGTAGTCATTGTGCAGATTGGTCCATTTCAGAATAATATATATGATATGTTTTATAAACATTGATCATTAAAGTGTTATTAAAGCTGGTAAAGGTGAAGCTAGTTTTAATGACTTTGTATACTGCAGGGTAGCTTGTGAATTTACTCCAGGTGTAACTAAAGTCTGATTAAATAATACAAATAATAATAATACATTTTATTTATCAAGTGCTTTATCAGGTGCTCAAAGAAAATAAAACGTCCCCCCAGGTTCGGGTGTTGATTATACTTCATATCATTAATCCCAATCTGCAAAGTAACTAAAGGTACTAAATGAATGTGGTGGAGTAAAAGACGATTACACGATTTCCCGCTGAATTGTAGTGGGGTAAAAGTACAAAGAAAATCTAAATATTCGAGTCAAGTCACTTAATATTGTACACTACTTTGTTAAATCTACTGAGTTACTTTACACCATGGTGCCATGTAGGATCCTGGTACAGGCTGATCCTGTAGCAGGGCTTCCCTGTAGCTCCTGTCAGGTCCAAGAGTAATTCCCGGATTGGGAGCAGAGAACCCGGCTCTGGCAGGCTCAGGCAGAGTGGAAGCTAGCCTGGGCCAGCGCCATGCCCCGGCTTCATTGATACACATCTCCAATTTCTCCGCACCCCCACTCACTCACTCACACTCTTCCATTCCTCACCACTGTGAGTGATATTCATATGCATTCTTCACTTTGCCTGTTACAACTACCCCTCCCACACCTCCTTTCACTCTTGGGTCATCTTTCTTCCATCTTCCGATTATCTTTGCACGTCTCCGTCCGACTTAATCCTTTGCAATGTAACGCCGGTAGATTTATGGTGTTAAAGCCTTCAGTAGCTTGGCTCTGTTTTCTGGCAGCCCGTGCATGGGCAATGTTCCTGCTGTCATGGAATGGGGCAGGCT